GGGGAACGACACAGCATGAATGCAGACTTCTAGAAATCAAAATAAACGGGGCTTTCAAAATTTCCTTCTCTGTGCTTTAGTCTTGGGATACACTATACAATAATAAATGCAAGTCTGGATATCAAAACCACTTTTTTCTACAGTGTGTAAGAAAAACAGGAAAATATAGCTCCTCACCTGCGTGGCCTAGTTCTTGGGGACATCATTTCATTACCAAGTATATGGTATCTCCTTGCTTCATGCAGCAGCTGATAACACTCTGGAGAATTCTGAATCAGTTGGTCTACTTCCACTGTCTGAACAAAGTAGTTAGGGTGTAATAAAGGGAGTCTCACATGTGTCAGAAGTTCATGTAACACTGGCCTTCGCAGCTCAACTGCACGGTAAACCCAGCGCATGACTGCTTCAAATACCATCTCTTCTTTACCGATCACCAGTTCATCACTGCAAATGTAGTCAATAAGCTCATCTTTCCCAAGCTCAAGAAATTCTTCATGCTGAGACACATCCTCAAATGTTTGCAGTGCAAAGGTCCTGCATTTGGTAAACAGTGTCTTGAGTGAGTGCGTATCAGCAAACCGCTGGATTCCCAGGCAGTTACAAGGGTCCAGTTGCTCCTCCAGAAACTTGGCACAGGCATCACGCAGAACACTAATCTGAAAAAGACTTGATGTTTCAAAGAGGTACTGCACATTTTCTGTAGTGATTTTCACCTTTCCAGTGTACACATACTGCAGAAAGCAATCCATTGCTTCAGCAAAAATGCCATTGATCTCAACCAACATCTCTCTGCTTTCTCTATGATCATTGCAAAACATAGCTCTGAAGTAGCTACTGCAGGCTGAAAGAACAGCTCGATGGCAGGGAAACTCTCTCCCTTCCACACAGATAATCACATCTGTGAACAAGCGGCTGTCACGAAACTCATTGAAGATCTGGAGTATGCTTTCAGCATGGGACGATCCTGAAGAGAAGTCAAAGAACTCAGGGCCCGATAAGGACTTGGGGTCCATTTCAAAAACTTTCCTCTTGGATGCAGGGGAATCACGGATCCCACTATCCTCTCTATTCAGTCTGCGTCCCAGTATTAGTACCATTGTTACATCAATTGGTTATAGAATCATTGAGAAAAGATTGCCAAGTGTCTTCTTTGCAGTGCTAAGGCTAGAAGAATTAAAACATTTCAGTATGCAACAACTTACATTTGTTAAGATTTTTTCCTTTTAATATGTTTTATATTGTGTTATCACCATTGCCCAATCATTCTAAAAAATTGTGTAAATTAACTGTAAGTGCTTACTAGAGGATAACAGCATATTATTTGCTAACAGGGTGTTATGTTTTGCAGTGCACCAGAATACCCTAACACAGATCGCCACCTCTGTGCAATGGGCTGAAGTCAGGCAAAAGTCAGTTGCTAAAAAGTACCTCCCTGCTCTAAACTGGTTCAGAAAGGAATAGCCTCTAGTAGGTAACAACCTACTACTTTCTGAGATGCTAACATTGTAGCATCGGACAAAGCTGTTGTATATGAAAGGCTGTGCGCCTCTTTGAACCAGTTAGTCTCACATGTATGTCTACACATGCATTAATGTGCATCAGTTAATGCACATCAAATCTAGTACTTCCGGGCAATTTTACACATGCTCCGAGGATGTGGGAAAGCTGCTCTAACTAAAGCGCCACCATGTCTTCTGTATCAGTGTTTCCACGCTTGAAAGTGGTCGTGGGGGTGCTTGAACTAAAACTCGTTTCAAGAGAGACAATGGAGGCTGCCGGAGCGCAGCGATTGCCACATTCCAGCAGACTCAATTAACGGAGTCTGCTCTGATGTGCTGGAATTCCAACGCATTAGAGCAGCCTCTGCACTTGTGTATAGGCATCCTCCATTGTGAGGTATTAGGAAAATGTGCATTAGCCTGTTTTAATGTGCATTAACTAAAGAGCACAGTTTTAGTGATGCTTTAATGCGCATTAAAATAAGCTAATGCACGTTAAAACACACATGTATATGCATCCTTAGGTGCCACCCTGCCCTACCTTCTACATAATATTCTATTGTAATGCATATACCCATGGGAAGAGTTAAAGATGCTGAGCAGAACAATGTTGCATATCCAGACCTTTAATCAAATAGCACCCTTATTACTGTATTAACACAATGGTGAGATCAACTGGAATTTCCCTGAAGTAAGATGCCAAAATTTAATTCATTAGTCTTTTCCAGTTTAACGGCCTCTTTCTTGGTATTCCAAAAGCAGGAGCAAGTGCAATGTGAAACTAATTAAAAGTTAAAAAAAAAAAAAGACACTGAAATGTTAAATAAAAAGTTTAAATTAAAAAGGCATATAGAACACTAATATGCAAATGCATTTTTGCAAAAATAGTTAAACATAATGTGAGAGTCTGACATAGGTACTGCAGAAATAAAGCACCAATACAAGATTATCCTTATTTGTGAGAACTCCAATAACCAAATAGATACTGATAATTTGTATCTAGAAGCAAATCATGGGCTAGAAGAGAATTTCCCTTTTCTGACAGCAATTATCTTCAATCCATAATTTATAAACGAAGATTACAGCCAACCTCTACTTGTTATCTATTACATACAAAAATATTCTTTTAACATTCAGAAGTTAGAAAATGCCAGAATTAAAGGTTGCCTGTGAACAAAATGCTACTAATTTTGCACGTCATACTCTACTGACATGCAAAATTAGTACTGTTTTGTAAAATAAAAGGTCTTTAGGCACAGTTCAGTTTAACACTTCCGTTGACTCCTAAACTTAATCATATGTTGGATTAAAACCCTAGAAAAATATCACGAGGCAGCTTTCCTACGCTGGTAACAACAACAAAAATATATAAATAGATCTAACATACATAATTCTAAATGTTTAAATATAATCTTAAGAGTTTAGAACGTGTGCTGAATTTGAATTTTAAAACAACTTGTGCAAAAGATTTTTTCCCAAAAAGTTTTGGAGGGAGAGAATGTTAGTTTTGTCTCATTCCCCACCTACAGAATCAGTAAATGTTATTTCAAACAGCCATTTTATTTCCTGACTAGCCAGAACCTTCAGGGCTGCATATTACCAGACCAATGTCTGGCTACATCACTGCTTAATATAGAACATAATGAACCACACTTTCTTAAACAAGGTTTTATAAAGCACCATCTTGACAAACCACAGAACCAAAAAGACTGTACTGTATAGGTTTCCTCACTCAGCAAAAAGAAAAAAAAAAAGCATTTAAAAACCACTTCCATCATACTCCTACTTCTTTATATAGAATAACTCAATTTTCCTGCACAATTTAATGAAATCATTTATAAGTTATATATGAGGTACAACATTACTTTTAAATAGCTCATATCAAGATCACAAAATACTTTTTTTTTTTTATTTGGGCTTAAACACAGACTGCCTCTTCAGTTACTGCCTGAAGAATAGCATTGCATTGAATATAATATGTTAACTAAAACATGCCTAAAGCAACCAGCTAGTATGGGGTCACTGAATGTTTTATTTTATACCTTTATAGTCTAATTTATGTTGCAATAATTTTCCTCTGTAGTAGTAACTCCTGACTTCATAAACACACACACACGCAGATGTGTGTGTGTTTATTCATTCATTCATTTTTTCATTTATTTATAAATAAGCTAGGATTCACCAGTTGTACTCCTACTGTCACTAACACTGAACTCTACTCAGCAAAGTCCTGTACTAGTCAGCATGAGAAACCAAGGCAGAACAGGTGCTTACATCAAACATAAAAAGGGAAATGCAACTGTGAATATATAAATATAAACCCTAATGACCTAATTCTGAGCTCACCAACGTAAAGAAGAATAATTTCACGGAGGTTAGTGAAGTTAAACCAACATAAAACTAGCATGAAATCAGATTACCTTAGGGTACAGCATGACAGGCCAAAACCATACTCACTTTACCACACTTAACTGTCTTATTAGCTTCCACGGAATTATTCATAGAAGTAAAACAAGAATTATGGTGATCATTATTTGATAATTATAAGCTTAAAAATGTAATATATAGTGCAATTAATACTATCATACTTATTACTTGTTGAAATCAAAATGCCCTCAAACTGCATATACAGACTACCTGCTTTTTGAGATGAACATATACAAGGATACCCACAAAAATCAGCAGTCAAGTAGTAAAATAACAGTAATTTATACATCTTCATCAAATGTCATGGAACACTGTTGCGTTGTCCTCATACCCACGATAGTGCAAGGGCATAAGAAAAAGATTTGAAGTGAGGTAATAATATTGAGGTAATAATCTTTTATTGAACTAACTGGTGCCGTTAGGAGAGAAAAAGAAACCCAGCTTTTTTGGCTTCAAGAGACATACATCAGGACTGGAAAAGCAGCAGTCACAGTCTAACCTGCAAAGATTGAATCAATTCAGACTTCAGCTTTTTGAATGTCTGTACTAAGGAGGCAAGTGGAAAAATCTACCAAAGGGCAGAATTTCTTGTACAGAGTAGCAGTAGTCAGAGTGACCCATACATCTTTAAACTGACATTACAGAATAGACAATTTGGCCGGAGCCCTTACTTACATGAACAGTACCACTTAAGTCACTGGACTCCTTGCAAAACGGCTGGCAAAATATGGCCCTAAAATTGGCACAAAGCAGATTTGCTCATTTAGTAAATCAACAACAAAAAGATCTTATTTCTCTATTTACAAGTCTTGAAATCCTTTTGTTAAATTTAATGCCCTGACCCTGCAACGAATCATGTGTAGCAGACCTCTGAACTAGACAGAACTCACTGGTAGATAAATGGCTCTTGCATTTTCTGCACTGTCTTTGCTACAGCAGTGTTTCCCAAACTCTTGATGCCTGGGTCACACTTTTTTTTCTGGATTAAATTGAGCAGCATTCTTCACTATTACACCCAAAGTGGGGCAGGGGGTGGAAGGGGCGCGTCTCCGTATGTTAGTCTGTGTGTGTGTGTATATATTTTGCATGGATTTATGCTGTGGTGCCTAAGCTTTTGGCCCCATGGGCCAGAGGAGCAATTTCAGGTTGGTCCACAGACCGGATCCAGTCCATGGGCCTAATCCTGCCACGCAGAGTCAACCCAGCCAGGGCCTGACCCTGCCACACAGGGCTTGGAAATTTGGTGACAGAGTAGCAGGGACAGCATTAATTGCCACTGGTCCCCCACTGCCAAATTTCCAGATCTGTGGGGAGCTCTGCAGACCGGATCCGATACTAATTAAAGTATAATATTTCACGGCACATTTCTGCTGCTCCCATGGCACACTAATGTGCCACAGCACACCTTTTGAGAACCGCTGGCCTACAGGCTTTTCCACACTATAGAAGTTTTGCCAGTATACTTAAACCAGCAAACTAAGAGTGCAGATGCAACTTATGCTAGCACAAAAGCTTGTATCTGTTCTCTAAGAAAAATTAGTTATATGCCAATACAACTGTATATAAATTTGAGCTTTTGTAAATAAAGAAATGTTATTAAAAAGAATTCACACTTAACGACACCACTATATAAAAGTTTCCATCACAGTGACCTAAACCTCATCTTCACCGGGGAAGAAGTCTAGAGAGACAGTGTCTTTAAGAACATTCATCAGCACGTAGTAAATAAAGCACACACACACACGTGTGCCCACACCCTCCCCCTCTTCATACCGTTTTTCCTTGTGGGATGCATCAGAGCTCTGGAATATATCACCAAGTGTGTACTTATCTTCTAACACCGGGTTGGGTAATTATTTGGGCCAGAGGGCCAGTTAGGGAGAGAGCCACACCAGGGCGTTTTGGTGAGTTGTTGTGGGCTGGGTCTGTGCTCCTCCTGGCCCCCACCCCACCAACACTCCTTAAGTGGCTCTGCCTCAGGGCCAGGCACTGCGCTCTCACCTTACAAGGATCTCAGCCCTGGGGGCTCCATGGAGACTGGCCTAGGACCCATGCAGGCAGGGCATACTAGTATGGGCAGATGGGATGGGGCCCACAGGTTGGTGGGGAGCAACATCTGGGAGCAAGATGGGTGGGCAGGGCTGGGATCACAGGGTGATGACAATGCGGTGCTGGAGTCTGGGGCAGACCTGCGATCTGCTCCTGGCACATTCCTACCTGCAGAACCAGCACCTGTCACAGAGACATGCAGCAGATTGTGGCTCTGGCCCAGGCTCCAGCCCTGTGCTGTCACCACTCTGTGATCCTGGCCCCAGCCCTGGCCCCACCCATCTCTCCTGCTCCCAGACGCTCCTCCCTGCCCACTCACAGCCTCAACCCACCACCCAGCTTGCACAGGCCCCAGGCTGGTCTCCATGAAGACCCCATCTGCCCACTCCACCTAGTGCTCCAAGAGGGCACACAGGGCAGATAGGCCAGGGTGCCCAGTTCCAGCAGTGGAGACTGGTAGTGGCAGCTGGAAGGAGCCGGAAATCAAGTCCAGCCACCATGCCACCCCAGCCCCATGGCGCTCCTAGGGCAGGCACACACACCACAGCTCAGGCTGCCCTGCCAAAGGACCCACCACAGGCCGGATAAAACCCCTTGGTGAGCCAGATGTGGCCTGTGGGCCTAACACCACACCTTAAGACATGCTCTAGGACACGAGTAGGCAACGTTTTTTGGCCCGAGTGCTGAAAAAACCACAATGTCTACCTTGTAAGGTGCTGGAGTGCCACAAAAAACAAAACTGGGGCAGGGGGTACATGGCAGGATGCACTGCATATTTAATACAATTAATAATCATTAATGTCACTTTTTTTGTTTTTTGTTTTTTTTTTTTTACAGTAAATACCAAGCTTTCTAAAAATTCAAAACCTGATGACAATAAATAAAACTTCATGTACTGCCTTGTACTTGCGAATTTTTTTTTCCTGTTAAGCATGTTACGACGAGAGGAGGAAGAGAGGGCGAGAGGAGCAGGGAGCAACAGGCACTGGTGGGAGTCACTGGGGTAGGCTGGCCTGGCCAGGCCGTTGGGAAGGCTGCAGCTGGAGACCTGGGGTCAGACGGGGAGTGGGGGCTACCCCAGGGCTCCGCTACTCGGGCTACAGCAGGGGGCCCAGCACCACTGGAGGTGGGGCCTTCCCCCGGGGCTCCGGTCCTGGGGCTACAGCAGGGGCCCCAGCACCACTGGAGGTGGGCCTTAGCCGGCCCATGTAGCTCTGCGGGGATGGGGCGCAGCCACCCTTGCGCTATGCCCAGTGTGCAGGGAGGCTGAGCCTGGATAGAGAAGACCCCGAGCCTGGTGTCCTGCCCCAGCCAGGCAGCATCTCCACGTGCGCAGGGTGGTTGCGGCTCATCCTTGAGGAGCTGCGTGGGCCGGGCCAGGCCCCACCACAGGCAGAGTAGGTGGCGCTGAACACCCCTGCCCACCACAGCTTGAGCCTGCAGAGCCCTGGGGCTGCCCCCACTTCCTGCCCAGCTCCCGCCTTCCTAAGGGCCCAACCGGGCTGGCTTGCCCGCAGCATCTCTCCCCATGCTGCCCAGACCCTACCCTGACCTCCCGGCCCCAGCACTTGGCACCTCAGTGCTGCCCCAGGTGGGACAGGGTGTCTGCCTACCTGGGCCCAGGGCTCTGCCATCCACTAGAAACCTCCCGGGCAGTGACCCTGCACAGTGCCTACCCTAGCTCCAGCCCTGTCCATCTGCGGCTCCCTCCGGGGGCCAGCTGGGCTGAAGTGCACAGCTGGAAGCAAGGGGCAGGGGCAGTAAAACACAAACAATGTCCCTGCCCATGTTCTTCTGGCTCCACCCCAGTGCCTGCTGTGGCGCTGGGACTTGTGGCTGCACAGGAGAGCCCAGAGCAGCAACTTAAAAAAAAAAAAAAAAAAAAAAAAAAATTAAACAATTTTTTTTTGTACCGGGAAAAATGTCTCCGTGTGCCACTAATGGCACGCATGCTGGGGGTTGCAGCTCTATGGTTACACAGCAGCAGGAGCATTGTTATCTTGATCAGGCTTCTACTACAGTACAGAAAAATAAAGGCTAGAATCCAGTATGTTTACCTACTAAATATAAACTTATTCCCAATATGATTAATCATTTTATTGGCAATTTGAACATGCATATCCAGCAACTGTGCTCTCTCACATGTGATGAGTCATCCTATGATTAGCAACTGGCAATACTTGTTTTTTCTAGTCTAACCTTCTGGTCAGGGCAGGATTGTTTCTCACAATTAAGATGCCTAGAAAGAGGAGTGAAAATAGGTTTGTCTCTCCAACTTTTTTATATAACTTAAGTCACTAAATACAAAACAAGTTGCGTGCTTTTTAAAGCATTTGCTTTTTCTGCTCGTTATTTTACATGCTCTTGAAGTCCTTAAGGTAGCTAATAAACTAGTGAGATGATGACATCCTACAGATGGGGAAGTGACAGGAACAGATTTATTTTGAGTACATTAAGATAAAATATAACCAAAAACATTTAAGTGCTTAATATTTTGTTTAAAGGATACCTTTGTTAAAGATTCAACAACCAATCAAGGTGAGAGCGTACATCATAAATATCCTTGACTTGTAGTATCCCAGCAAAACAAGAAATGACTAGACTAGGACTTCACAAGCAGAAAATAAAACCCCACATGCAAACAAGAACTATTAGATGACCTTTTAGCATAAGAAAGGCCAAGAATGGCAGATATAAATATATTTTTTTAAATTGGGTATGTCACCATTAAAACTATCCAAAGAGAACCTTAGAAACTACTTAGGTTCCCTTCCACAATTTCATGTTAATATTGCTAATGCATTTCTTATAAGCATTGTAGATTCACTAAATTGACCTGAAAATTTACTAGATTTACCAGTGACCTATTATAATTTTCCAAAGCAAAACATACTAACCAAGTGACTTGCAATATTCAATCCACTCCCAGTGCTTCAGCTAAATGGGATTTCCTTATGTCAATTTTAATTTCAGTTGACAAGTGTTGAGTGTGCAACAATGGCAAGACTGAGTTTAAGCATACGTTTATACACTTCACTATTTCCTTTGTTACTAAGAATGCCATAAAAACAAGGAAATAGGAAAAAAAGACAAAATACACATTAAGGTTGTAAGAACAATGGAAAAAAGCTAGGAAACTTAAGGTTCATACTTGTCTTTAGCCTGCACTGTTGACTTTTCCTGTTTACAGTGACTTGCATCACACATGGATTCAGACAAATCCAAGCTACAGGCTTTTGTTTGATTGCATCACAGCCTTAAGGTTATTTAAGTATATATTTTTGCATATGTTACAACAGGTGGTAGTTGATCAGGTACCATCAGGAGGATTCCATATACACACTTTGAGCCTAGGGGGCTAACTGCATATTAGTAGAATCCTGATCTAAAAGGTTTCAACCTGGCCTACACCCTTTCCCCTCCCATATTCACACAAAGGAATAAAACCTCAAAAGGTTAGGTACTACAAAAGGTTGTAGCATACAACTTCTTTCTGTTGCTCTTACTCAGCGAAAGGTCCTAGTGAGGTCAATGGAAATCTTGCCTATGTGAGAAATTGGTTTCAAGTCACTTGGCAATATTCCCAGGCTGAAGCAATACGCCCCTACCTTGTTTACTCTATGTACTATAAAAGCAGTCACTATTATGACTCTCAGTGTGTAATCTACCAGCAAGGGTCTAGATTATTTGAAATTAAAGTGATCAAAATTTACAATTAACATATGTTATTTTTAACTACAGCTATATTTGTTATCTATGGTTATCAGTGCAGCACACAGAAACTATTCTGTGCTCTTCCAAGCTTTTCCAATTACTTCACTCCAATATTCATTTGCATCAGAAAACAAAAACATGCCCTTTTTCACCAGGGTGGGTAGGCTCGGAAATACATCTCCAATTTAGACAGTCTATAACAGGGGCAGGCAATTATTTCAGCTGGAGGGCTGCTTCATGAGTTTGGTGAGCCAACAAGGACCGCAAGGGTGGCTCTGCCACCTGACAAGCGCCCTGCCCGCTGGTCACCATCTTGGGACCAGAAGTCCTGCCCCTAACTCCTGACCTTTGCCACTGGAAGTCGCTTCCTTTGCCCACAGAAGTACTCCTTTTGGAAAGGGGGTCTGCCATCTTGGAACCAGAACCCCCCCCC